TCAGATAACAACAAATACAATCAACCATTTATGATGAAGGTCCATGTCTGTAAAGACCTAAAGAAATAGGCGATGATTACCAGTACAATAAAAAAATTAAATAAATTTACAAACAATACCAATATGATAATGTGTTTGCTGCCCGGCCAGGTGAGCTGCGAGCTGTTCTGATGGAGTATGATTCAGGCATTAGCTCGAAGGGCGGCTCCTTTAGGAAGATCACACCTCTCTCCTTTAACCAGGAGCCCAAGGAAGTGTCCAAGCAACAAATACAGGTATAGCAGACACCACAAAAGCCTTTTGTGCTTACCCGTCATAAGGTGTTTGTTGAGGCAGTGAATATATTATCATCTATATTACAGTATTACATATATTACATTATTACATATACTACATTGTCATTATCATTTATGTGACATACTAAGTATTTTGTTGGTAGAAATGTTGTGTTTCCGTTTGCCTTTAAGAATTTAAGAGTTAGTGATGCTTGAGGAATACATCTCCATACATGTATTTGGATATCTCCCACTCCCAGCTCCAGTTGGAGGAGAGTTTCTTCCACAACCAGCCTCCGTCCCTGAAGAGAACAGTGGACTTTGTGGTGGAGCGGGTGTCATCCAACTGTGCCAAACATGTGCGAGCGGCTGTGGTGCAGACCCTGGTCCAGGGCAGGAGGGAGGAGCTCAGGACAGGGATAGGGGACGTCATTGAGTCTGAGGAGAAGAAACTAACCAAGGAGGTAACAGGGATTACTGGTATCACCATATGTACAGAACGTTCAGAGTTGTACATCTTTTTAAACACAAGTTGTTGCTTTCTGTAATTAATGAAGGTATACATTGTGCTGTTCCAAATGTTGTTTTTGTGTTTTGCAGGAAAGAGCAAGAGAGAAGACCAAAGCCACAAAACCTATCATCACAGCTGTGGTGGAGGAAGCCAGACCTCAGGCAGAGGAGGCAGGGAAAAGGTCTAGCATTTGCTTCTTCTTCCGGTAATGTCCAACTGCCGGTACCGGCAATAATTGACATGTCTCGGGTCGAAGGTCACCAGCGTGACGGAGACTAGGCCGGACTGGACACCCTCGAGACAAAGGTGGCCAGGGACGGGGATTGGACAGTGTCTGTGGGCAGGGCGTTCCAATCGCGGATAGTGCGAGGAAGAAAGGAATAGTGTTTGTAGTTCGTGCTTTGGCATTAGTCTGTTGAAATATCAATATATATATGCTTTAGGAATCTCAAAAATGTTGTGCTTTCTAGTAAGCACCAGTACAGATTTTCTAAATGGGCATTTCAGCCTTTTGTGCTGTCATTCAAAAATGTGATTTCTCACTGAATACAGATTTTGTGAGACCAAAGTGATGGAAGCCTTGAACAGCCTGGTGGCAGAAGAGATAAGCCCACAGGTTGGTGTTTGCTTGTTGTGGTTAGGGATGCTCCAGGAAAACTGTCTCCCTATGCCCTATATTTATGTGTAATTTATCATTTTAATGTACAAGTATAAAAAGCAGAGAGAATTTCATAATGATGGACCTCTGTAACAGCATACTTCTCCCCATGGAAATCAGATGTATCAAATGTACAGCCATAAGAGTTAACACTGCTGCTATTGTTCCTGGTGTTGTTGTTGTTGTTGTTGTTCACTATTTTACTTCCATTTACTTCAGGTGGTGAAGACAGCAGGAGGGATTGCCTTCAGACAAGCCAATGACAAGGTGGTGAGGTGGACAAGGGACAAGGTGCCAGGTATGGAATCAAGCTGCAGTCTAACATGAAATGATAGAGGCATCTTTGTCTTGAATATGAGAGACTAAGAATTATGTCCTCATAAGCCATGGAAGAGATGGGTAAGACATTACCTAACTTATTTGTTCTCAAGTTTCCCTAACTGTCGTCTTGGCTGTCTGTTGCAGCTCTGATACAGAAGGAGGTGGAGGCAGAGTATGATAGGCTGCTGAAACAGGCAGCAAAACAACAGGCCTGTCTACCCAGAACAAGTGCTGAAGCTGAAGAAAAACCTGAGCTGGAACCATCTGCAGTATTGGAAAAACTAAAGGTGAGCATCTTTCCTTAGTTGATATTATTCAAAGACATAGTTGACAACTGATCGTTCAACATTGTTT